CCCAAAACTAGCAATTAAAGGACTAGTCCATTATTCAATTGTGACTGAGTGAAACTATTGCTCTAGATGATGTTCAACTTAACAGTCTCCATCGAAACACTGGTATATAAAAGAAATATGGTTCTGAGACTACTTTATTACAAACTCTAGAGTTTGGTGGGGATTGTTGGATATATTATGGGCTTGCCCCGTATAATATTTAATAAATCAAATAAAACTCTATGATACGTAACATTAAGCGTTATATAGTTTAATACCATACGGGATTTTGACTGAACGTTGACTCAGCTTATATGGTTAGAAATTATTCATCTTAATTGAGAAGCTGAGAAAAGAACATAGGTGTGCCACACGCGTGCGCGTGCCGCCGCCGCCGCCGCCGGCCGGGCCATGGCCGTGGCCGCGGGCGCGGGGGCCGTGGCGAGGCGAGGCAGGTGGGCGGCGAGCGAGCGGGCGGGCGTGGCCAGTCTTTTGTCACTTAATCCACATAAATGCGGAGTTTTCTCTCCTTGATGGTGGAGGCGAATTGATTGCGCCCGTTACCGTCCCTTCCGCTTTCAGTCTCCTAGGATTCTCCGATGTCTTTCTTCCTTCCCGTCGTAGCCATATATACGTAGTCCTCCATCAGTCCAGATCTCCGTCTTCCACAACTGCTCCCGAGAGAAACCACATCTCAGTAGCCCTCTAGCTTCCCCGTCCCGTACCTCTGCGCGCACGGAGTAGCGGGAGAGCAGGTGCCTCCGGAACCCTCGTCCGCCTGAGAACCTTGCACGAGGTGTGTGCGGCGATTAGGTTTTTGAGGAGCGATCCACGACTGCTCGTCCACGTACGCCTTCCTCCTGGTGATGATCGCTCTCAGAACCTGTCTTCTTCCCAGTGATTGCCTGCGGAACAGCAAGGCGTCTTTTTCTGGTGATCCGTTCGTGGGACTACACTGCGAACATCGTCCTGCATCGACTATGGTCCACGACTTCGAACAACGTACTATGTCGACTAGTGCGAATGGAGCCTCCGATGCCCTCGGCATGGGACCCTCCGCTAGGTACAATCTAATTTTTGTGATTACTGTACTTTGTGCTTTTACTGTATTCATCTGTATGTCATGTCTGCATGTTGTAGCGTTCATTAGAGATATACACATGCACATATATGCCATCACAAACCTGCTGATGTCATATTTCTGGATTAAATTGATAATGAAAATGCCTAATTATCTAACACATTTGCCTGCACAGCGACTCAACGAGCCCAGCGGCGGCTCAATCTCCTAGCCTATCCAGCCATGACAGGACCCAGGAGGCTTCGACCCACGGCAGCAACCTACAGTGCCTCTTCGGCCACAGCTTCTCGCGGGCGGCTAGGTCAAGGTCGACGATGCACATCCAGGCAGCTGCGAACAAGCCACCAACACCCCCAATCGACCTCCAGCGAGCAGATCGACAGCGCCACGGCATCCCGCTCCGTGGCGGCGGCGGCGGCTGCTGCTCTGCGCGTCAGGCGGTGAGGCTCTCGCGCTTGGGCCCCCTCGCAGCGGCCACAAAAGGGGAACTCCTCAGCCTCCAGCCTTGCGCCTAACTGGCACCACACACTCCTCGGTGGCGGGTGGAGTTGGATGCCGCAGGCGGTGGTGCCGACGCGGCGACGGGGCCTCCTTCTCCGACTGCCAACGAAGGAAGACGACACATGTGATGTTTCCCGTTGCTAACCCACCCTCCCCGTCGGGATAGCTTTGGTGGGACAGGAGGCTATAGTTGTCCAAACCCAAACCTACTGAATATCCCTATCCAGAAAACCAAACATGGGTTATGAGGTCAATGGGTTATCATATCCCTTTCCCACCCACTCTATCCCATCAACCATACACCACCGCAGGAGAACAAACAATGTAGACTACACTAGAGCCAGCCCGAAAGAAAAAAAGGTCCAGTGAACGACAGGCGTCGAAACACAACACGGGACGCATGGATGCTTCACGTGAAGAACGACGCAGATAGCTCCTGGGTCAGATTCAACGGCCAAAAAACCTGTGACGGAGAGGAACAAATCACACGGCCAAACGATAGCTTTCTTGTTTTTTTTTGGTACGGCTCTAAGGTCAACCCGATGCATTCTCGTGCCTACGAAACGTGCTGAATATGGGGACCGAGCTGTAGCTCGGTTGGCGAGGGCTCCTGGTGCGGAGGCCACCGACGCGCATTCGAGCCCTGCTCGAAGCGGGTTTTCCCCATAATGTGTCTGCAGCCTCTCTCACATAGAGCCACAAAGGGATTACGACGTGCCCGTCGTCTATGGAGCCATGGATGGTCCCGGTGGTCCCAGTGATCTCAAGAAGGATGTGGTTGTTATCTGTGTGTAGTTGTAGGTCTAGTAGTTCGTGTGGTGTGTGGTGTGCGTGCGTAGCGTGAGTGTGTGTATGTGCATGAACAAATACTACAACTATACTCACATGAGAGGTCTGAGAAAAAGAAAAAAAAGGTCCCTGATGATGCATCCGTCTCTGTTTTGCTGTCTGCCCGTCTCCATCTCTGCACACAAGGCATGCGCGATGCATGCATGTGCTCGTGTTTCATGTTCCTTCGTGATAATTTGTCCTTGATTGATTGTGTGTAGTCCTTCTTGTCGGCTAGCCGCAGTTGCTTCACGGTAGATCTTGGCTGTAGTCTGTATCACTAAGACCCTCTCAAAAAGAAATTTATATGGACAACCAAACCCAAAATAGTTAACAGAGATCTAAAATCAGCCTCCAATAAATTATTTATATGGGAGACCAATTTTGGGTTGCCTGATAGACACAACTCAAATATGAACATCATCTCTCATGTAAAACTATTTGCATAAATGATTCTCTTTTACGTCATATTGTTGAAGAAAATACCAAATAGATATTGAACCCTTTAAATATAGCGTTACCTAAACATAAAATGGATCTTATATTTTGGATGTTGTTGCTGGAGATAGTCTTAACGCCTCTATCTATCTGTATTTCTCCAATCCACCTCGATAGCTGTAGATTAAGATGGACGTGCACAGATGCCTACCAGGATTAACAGCGATAGCACTGCTCTGAATCTCTGATAGATCCATATACAGCTCACACATGCCCATCGCCAATAATCACTTGGCTGTTGGCTCCAGAGTCCAGAGGGCCGGGTGAAGAAAAAAAAAGGCTGACCCCTACGTCCTAAGTCCCCATGGAGCTAGCACCGTCGTGGGCGTCCTTCCTCGCCGTCGTAGTGGCTGGCGCCGCTCTCTTCGTCGTAACCATTCTCCGGCTCCGCCCGCGCTCCACGCGCAAGTACAGGCTCCCACCGGGCCCCCGGCCATGGCCGGTGATCGGCAACCTGAACCTGATCGGCTCGCTGCCTCACCACTCCATCCACGAGCTCTCCAAGAGGTATGGCCCGCTGATGTCCCTGCGGCTCGGCTCCTTCCCCGTCGTCGTCGGGTCGTCGGTCGACATGGCTAGGTTCTTCCTCAAGACCCACGACCTGGCGTTCATCGACCGTCCTCAGACGGCGGCCGGCAAGTATACTTCCTACAACTGTGGTGACCTGTTCTACCAGCCTTACGGCGCGTACTGGCGTCAGGGGCGCAGGCTCTGCCAGACCGAGCTCTTCAATGCCAGGCGGCTCATGTCGCTCGAGCACGTCCGCAGCGAGGAGGTGCGCGCCATGCTGAGAGATCTGCACGCCGCGGCGTCGTCGCCGTCGGCGGTGGCCGGTTCTTCTGGTGGCCACGTGGTGGCGCTCAAGGAGCACCTCTCCATGGTGAACCTCAACGTCATCTCGCGCATGTTGCTAGGCAAGAAGTACATCGTCGACGGGTCTGGCTCGCCGGCGACACCTGAGGAGTTCAGGTGGTTGATCGACGAGCATTTCTTTCTCAACGGCGTGCTCAACATCACGGACATGATCCCGTGGCTCAGCTGCCTGGACCCGCAGGGGTACATCAAGAGGATGAAGAGGTTGGCCAAGATGTTGGACCGGTTCCTGGAGCACGTGATGGATGAGCACAACCAGCGACGGCGGCGAGAAGGCAAGGATTTCGTTGCCATGGACATGATGGACGTTCTTTTGGAGGTCGCTGACGACCCCAACCTCGAGGTTCCAATCAAGCGGGATAATGTGAAGGCGTTCACTCTAGTAAGCGTTACTAATCCACATCATGCATAATTGTTTTTTAGGCATCGGATGATTTCTTATTGGCGGCGTTTGGTAGCGCCACCCGGTGCTGCCGCTTCGCCGCAATTCGTACTATTTGGAGCATGGAGCTTACCCTGGAGAAAAAAAAAATGGCTTCATCCGACTCCTCTATCTGGACGTGCGACCCTACCCAAAATAGCCACCTTCACGCGGGCGAGGCGCTGGGCAGACAGAGGTGCCGAGGTGGAATGGATGTAGGGCGGGCGAGGCAAGTCGGAGGGAGGCAATGTGAGCTGTTAAGGGAGAGAAGGGGAAGAAGGGAGAAATAGGAGAGAGGAAAATAATGGAAGAAAAGAGAAAGAGAAAAAAAAGATAAGAATACTATGAACAATTCTTTTACATGATGTCCACAGAGTAAAAGAAAGCGGTTCCCCTAGACTAACTGGAGCCAGAACAGTTTTGCTAGAGCCACAGCTCTACCAAATGCACTCAAGTCCACCCATTCTAAATTGTAGGTTGTTTTAGTTTTATTGTAAGTTAAACTTATTTAGGTTTGGTCAAGTTTATTAAAAAATGTAAATATCTATGGCATCGATTATTAATACACCATGAAATGATGAAGTATATTTTGATGTGGTAGTAAATTATGTAACTCCGATCCCTCTATTCAAAAGTATATGACATTTTGATTCTTCTAGATACATAACTCTTTTTTATTTTTATGTATTTAGATATACTACAAGTACTAAAAGCAAAATATCTTATAATTTGGACAGCATAATGAGTAAATGTTCATATTTGGTTAAAATTAACTTTGGCTGAGCACAAAACTAGACTAATGAGTGGTTCTGCACCCAGGACCTGATGAGCGGCGGCACCGATACCACGTCGGTCACTGTAGAGTGGGCCATGTCAGAGCTCCTAAGGAATCCAGAGGTCCTTGCCAAGGCCACTGAGGAGCTAGACCGTGTCATTGGCCGGGACCGTCTTGTGGCAGAGGGGGACATTCCAAACCTCCCATACATGGAGGCCATCGTGAAGGAGACCATGCGCCTGCACCCAGTCGGGCCACTCCTGACGCCGCGGCTGGCTCGAGAGGACGTGTCCGTGGGCAGCTACGACATCCCGGCAGGCACGCGCGTCTTCATCAACGCCTGGGCCATCGGCCGCGATCCGGCGGTGTGGGAAGCTCCCATGGAGTTCCGGCCAGAGCGCTTCGTCGGGAGCAGAGTGGACGTGAAGGGGCAGCACTTCGAGTTGCTGCCGTTCGGGTCCGGCCGCCGGATGTGCCCTGGCATGGGCCTCGCCCTCAGGATGGTGCCTATGATCTTGGCCAACCTGCTGCATGCCTTCGCGTGGAGGCTCCCCGACGGTGTGGCGGCCGAGGAGCTGAGCATGGAGGAAACGTTCGGGCTCACCGTGCCGCGCTTGGTCCCGCTCGAGGCCCTCGCTGAGCCCAAGCTCCAAGCTCGCCTATATGCAGGCCCGTGATCCATGCAGCAAGCCTATCTTGCTCTTGCTGCCTACATATACATAGCTTCGGATACGATGTCGACATGCATGCATGTGCTCTATATTGTGCCCACAATAATAAAGAAGAGATGTGATCATACGCTCATATTTTTCTGTGGTTGTTTGTGTTTAGTTTCACTTATAGTGACTCAAATTTATGTATCCTAAAGGAACTCTCCATGAACTTTTTGCTTAATCCAGAAATGGACAATTCTCTCCCTATACCACAGCAAAATCACTGATTTCGTCATATGCCTTTTAACACAAGACTTGGCAACAAAAAGGACATATATGGACAACAAGATAGATTGGTTAGATTTTTGCAACAGTGATACTTGGTCCCTCTTGTATGTCTAGGAATTTTTGGAGATTCTGAAATGCAGGAATGTTGCATTTGCAAGAGTTTATTGGTGTGAGCCAGAAAAAAAAGTGGTTGATGGACTGAGAACTTTGAGGTGTGATGCTGATATCATTGCAATGATAAAATGAGAGTACTACTTGCAAGAACATCTTGATGTACGTCGACCATTCAAATTTTCTTGAAAGACACAAATTTTTTCTTGATATGTAGAATAGGGATATTGCACAAGTTGCTCTTGTAGCCACTAGTAGCCAAGAGAGGAAGTCTACTTTTGTTGAGGGGACAAGCACAAGTTACCAAGAAGGCATTGAGATAGAAGATGGTGGTGAGAGGGAATTAGGTGCAGATTCTGATGTCGATTCTGATTTTGTTGACAATGACTACGAGTTTGACATTGATGACGATGACTTATTTGCTCAAAATGTGGATGACATGTTAATTAATGAAGAGGCTAACTGTAACACCCCTGGTGTTATGAGCTTGCTTAGCACCAAGATTTAGACCTAAGAGGGTTTACCAAAACGATTTTCTCGGATTTTAAAATTTAACTTGTGTTTAAAAGTGTCATTTTGGCGAATTATATTAAACAACGGGTTAATTAGTTATTAGATGTTTTGTTTCTACGAGTTAGTATGACGTATGAACTAGTGTATGAAATGCGTAGTGGTTGAAATTAATTGGTTTAGGAATATTAAAAATTACGGCTAAAACGCTAAAGGTTGTCAGTTCTAGCTAAAGTTATTATTCTCTAAGTCGGAAACGATGATAGTACACAATGCCGATTTGACGTTTGAATTCTAACAAAAATTGTTAGGCATCAGATTCGTGTTTTTTGTACTGTTGGTTGTCTCAAGGTGAGCACTTGAGCAGGATGCAGGTTATAGTTGTGTTGGATGGCCCGTGGTCCTCCTAAAATTTTTCAAATTTCATTGAAACACGTTGTAGTTATGCCGTTGGCGCTTGGTCGTGAACCGCCGTTCAGCGTGACGAACCCTTGTTGGAACCCTTGTACCTCTCTATCTAGTTACTCCATGGTCATGACGGTTGTTTGTGTGATAGACGGTAGTTTGGGCTTCAGATTTGAAGACTTGCTTGGGCCTCAATCGCGATGAATCGTAGCATTTGCTTGGCTTTAAAATTCGTGCGTACCGCTACTTACCGTCGTACGGCTCAGCCTACGGTCACCGCGTGCACTGCCTGCCAGCTGTCTGGCTGACGTGGTGCTTCGCCCACCGCACGACCCACCTAACCACAGAGGAGCTGGCTGACTTCGCTGTCCCATCACGCTGCGGCCGTTGATTCCATGTTAATGTTCCTCTCGTCGCGTTGTGGTGTGTCGGTCCCGCGTGGCATCTCGGTGTGCGCCCGCTATTTCGCTGCCGCCAAGAGCATCCCGCCAGGTTCGAGCCGTCCTGTCTATGCGCTAGTGTGACGACGGTGGTCCGTCACCCTGCTCTGAATCAGTCATCTGATTTGTTGCGTTGCGTCGCGCTGCCCTTGCCGATCACATTGCGCCAGGCCACCCTGTCCCCACGCTGCGTTTATGAGGTTGGTGGCGAACCACACGGCTCCTCGTTTTCCCTCTCGCGCCTGCTCTGCACTGCCTCTGTCCGCTCTTCCTCTCTTTGCTACCAGCCACCAACGCCGCTGCCCGGCCACCACACGCGCAGGCGCGCCCGAGCCCACGCGTGGCTCCTTGCTCTTCCTCTCGCGCGCCTGTTTTGTGTTGCCGAGTCTCCTTCCATCGCCGTGCCTTGCCATCCCGTCATGGTAGCCACGTCGCCGGGGGTGCGCCATATCCGCCGGTGCCAAGGAGCTTGCCTCGCCGGCCGTCGTGCCCACCCTGGTCCTCGCTGCACCGCCGCCCCTTAGCGCTGCCCTTCCCAGCGTGATAGCCACCGCGCCCAGGAGCGCCCATCACCGGTCTCTTTCCCCCACCTCGCGCGCACACGAGCCCCGCGGCCCACGCTGGACCTACTGCTCCATGGCTCTGCACCTCCCCGCCCTTTCCCGGCTGCGTCGCCTTCCGTGGGTCTTGCCGCCACCACCGCGTGGGTATCTCCCGACCGTCCCCGGTGCGCCGTGGCCGCTCGTCGTCGCCTCCCCTATCGCGGGCGCGTATGGTCGTCGTGCCAAGTTCTGCATCGGTCAAGCGCCGTGGCAGGCGAGCTGCGCTTGCTTGCAGCTTTTGGCCGACCTTGTGCTGCCCCGAACTGCTGCTGGCGTCGTCCGCGTGGGTCGGCTCTGCTTGGGTGGGCCCGCGCCCAGCTTGGCCGCTTAGGCCGCAGCCGCCCCTCTGGGCCTTGTCCGCGTGGGCCGCAATCGGCCTTGGGTCGCTGCCGCGTGCGCCTAGGCCTCTTGGCCGCCTAGCGTGGGCCGAGCTGGCCGAAGCCAGCCCAGGTTTCCTTGTATTTTTCTAGTTTTTGTTTAAAATGGCTGAAACTTGTAAAATTCGTAATAAATCAAATAAAAATGATAAAATGGTAAATCCAGTTTTGTTGAACTCTACACATATTGTACTACACTGTGAACACATAACGTCATATGCTTTAGTGCAAAATAATTGTCTTAAAAATTACTCTAGGGTTTGTTGTAATTAATTAAAATAGTTCTTATGCTCCAAATGCTATGAAACTTTTATAGTAGCATAACTTTGCTACGTTTGTACTCTAGTAAGAATTTTATGTTTAGTAGGTACTGGATGACTGGAGTATTAATTTAGCTTGTGAATACTAGTTTAATGCTTGAAATAAAATTAAAAGAAAATAGAAATATAAAATGTATGTCCTTAGAATATTATTACTACAATAGTACTTTAGGACACTTGTTAACACCTTGGAATTGTATAACTAAAAAAACTTGTTGGAAAATGACACCTTTCTCGATGATGTTGATACGTAAATTAGTACGATTAGTCATTAGAGCTAGCTTGTTAGTTCGTAGTATGTACTCCGTTTTAAGAGTTGTTGTTGCTGGTTAATTAACTGTTACATCATCTCTACATCACATTGCATATCATAATAGGAATGATGGTGGATCTATGCTATCAAACGGAGTAGCTGAAAAGATGGTGCCAGGGATCAGGACACTAAGATGGAATGCTAACTTTTGATTATATTTTACCCAGGCAAACCCTGGTGCATAACCTCTACTTTTCTGCACTTTAAATTATATTTGTGTATTAAGTTTTAAGGAGTTGAATGAAACCCACTTGCATATATATATCTTTATCCTATGAGTCTTACTAGTATGACATGATCGTGTAGATTGCTATGCTATAGGACTCCGATAAAAATCGAGTGATTGCCTGTCACTCGCGAGAGATAGAAAATATATTACTGTATTATTATCACTTAAAAATATAAATGGTGGAAAGAAAAAATAGAGATCGAGCAGGGATATGGTTTGGGTATTGGTGGGTGTAAGAGGTTGTGTCCTACGACCAACGGGGCATAGCTTGGTTATACTTTTTCCCTGTCTATGTCGGTTAAGGACCGGCCGTTGCATTGGGTTCTAGGCAGGTTACAGACTTATTATCTCGAGCACATACTTGGGTATGGGCGCAGGGAAGACTTGTTACTCTCTTATCATAGGTTCTGACTCTTTCTGGACCGACTGTAAGGGTGGTTTTTGGGTGAAGGTCCTTACACCGCACTGAGTCCGGGACTCAGGGGCGGGGGCTTGGAGTCCCAGTTTGGATGGGGACCTATACCCCGTGACAGGAGGATAGTAGTTTGGTCCTGCTTGTGCCTGGGGTACAAGCGGGGCGTGTGTTTCAGGGTACCCAGCTGGGCTCATTGATTCATGAATCGCCGGCGTTTCGTTACGACTTGTCTATAGTCTAGTAACGTAGTAAGAACTAGAAGAGAAAAGATGGTAAAAATGATTCTGATTGCTTACCACCTGCTTGAAAGTAGCACAGGTGCTTACATAGAATGGTTAATTAATCAACTAATGTGATTGCTAATAAAAATTGAATATAAGGACGCACGGTTAGTAATGCTTCCTACAGATGCAATAAACCCACAAGCCAGATAGCCTTGCATATCCTTGGAGTCTTTTTCTTTTCTCCTGTCGGGTAAGTCTTGCTGAGTACAATTGAGTACTCAGGGTTTTATTTTCCTCTGTTGCAGATGACAGGCGGATGCTAGAGCTCACCTTTGTGTGTGGATTCCTCCTGGTGGGCTTAGAGAGAATTTCCTTTACGCTGCGATCGTAGCCTTTATTTATAACTCTCACTAAATATTTTTATAAATAGAAGTGTTATAATCTGTTGTCATAGTTTATATATCAATGTTTCATCATGTCATGAATAGATCATTATTTCCGTTGTAATTCTGATCACATGTTTATATTCTGTTGTCAAATTAAATTATTCATAACTCTGATAACATGATCATATTATGCTATTATCAACAGTAAATATTATACTCTGATGCTGTATTAAAAGTGATGTAAGAAAAGGTTTAAGAATGATGTAAGCTTTATTCTCTCATTTGTGATCCGGATGGAAAAATATAGATTTTTGGGTTCTCCTTTGAGGTGTGCTCGACGGAACTATGTAATTTGGTGTCCTCCCTTAAGTACTTAGTGTCTAACGGAAGACGAGTACTCCTGG